TTCATTAGTATACCAGACTGGATATTTATGTTTGAAATTTTTAAAAATTAAAACATGTTGATCAAGTATTTCATAAAACTTATTATAGAAGGTTTCTACGCCAACATTAATATCAGTTATATTTTCCAAAAAATTCCAATTAGTGTGTAAAAACTAAAGACATTACAACATATAGACAAAATGTGTCATTCATAAATCCCATACAATTGTTTTAAAATTGTTAGTGAGTGGAAGAGAGAAAGACAGATCTCTTATGACCGGCTGGCAACGTTGTAAACAGTGTCCATAATAGGCTCGCCAGTGGCGTAGAGTTTTAAACTTACCAGTATTGTCAGAGTAGTATGTTAAAAAAATACGTAAATATGTAGGTATATTTTTTTAATAATATAATTATGATGATTTTTTCATGTAGGTAGATTAGATTAGATTATGAGTTGGACGTTATTTGTCCTTGTCCACCGCGACCTTTTCAGATCTATTGTGGGACTCTTTTTTGTTTTAGAGTATGTCGTCTAGCCTGGTCTTTTTTATTAGTCTTAGTAGCTTTGACAGTGGCGCCCGCATGTAGTTGCATGCAATTGGCTTTTCTTCGCCCAATGTTAGAAACCTCATTCCAGCCAGACATTCATATTGGCACAGGACGTGGAATATTGTTTCCTCTTCTTCTTCACAGAACCTGCACAAAGTTGCTTCTTCTGCTGGATTTATGACTCATGTGCCTTTTGAGACGACAATGTCCAGTAAGAAGGCCTACTGTTATCCTAACGATTTGATGCTTTTGATCCAGTAGGTCTTTCGTATACTTGGCCGATGGTTCCTTGATGAACTGTTTGGCTTGTCTCAGTCTTGGATAGTTGTTCCACCATTTCTGAGACTCTGTTTGCATTCATTGTTTAATGGATGCCTTACACAATGCCTTAGCAACTCCACAGAAGGGTCCGGGGCCTGTCATGACCTTATCTGAGCATCCTCGGGCTAATTCATCGGCTTTTTCGTTGCCCTGATATCCCTCATGGCCTGGAACCCAGGCTAAGGTCACTTTATTTTAACTACTTAGCTCTGTCAGGTCTTCTAGACAGTCTTTCACCAGTCGTAATTTGATTTCTGGTGAGAGAATTGCCTTCAAAGTATATATTATGACAATAGTTTTGCATGATACTTGCTGATTTTTCATGTAGGTAAATTCAAGTACAAGTAAATTCAAATACAAGCGAATTCAAGTTACCTTTCGATTTTTAATATTTATTGGTTTATAGTTTATTGGTATTTACTATATATTTGCCTGGTATGATGTTAACCAAAATTATTTAAAATTTTAAATTAACATTAAGTAGGTAGGGGTATCTAAATAAAACACTGTCCTAAAAATATATAATTTTTTAATTAATAATTACAAAAAAACATGGTATGGCAAAAAATATCTTAAAAAAACTGTAAAAATTTTTAAAATAATGTTTTAAATATATAAAATACTTTAATTTTATTAACTAAAATTTCATTTAATTTTTTTATGCTTAGTTATTAATGTTATAACTTACTGCAACGTTTCTTTTTGCAGCAGGTGGTGTTCCAAAAACAGTTGAATCAGAACTAAAAACCCATACATTAGATATACATACAAATAGGTAATAAATAATGTTTAGAGGTAAACAAAAAATTAATATTTTGTATTTTTACCTGTTGGATAAGTCATCCAAAAATAGAAAGCCCTCACACCACCTGGAGTTTGCATCTTTTGTAATATATCTAGTACCATTTGCACGTGCCAAAACATTTTCTGGAAAACAGTGTTCTGAACACAACTCTGAGTTTTTACGAAGGGGCTGATTTTCAAGGATTCCTATTAGAGAAAACCAAAGTTTTCTTTTTTTTGGATCTTGTGGAAACCTGAATAGAGTAATAAAAAATATGTATAGGTGCTCAATAGGTAAATCATTTTTAAGGTATTCTACATTTTACGTTAAATTTTCTTTGCCACTATTCAATAATTATTTATTGGTATAATTTACTAATTTGTAAAAGGAATATCACCTTAAAAACTGTTTTAAGACTGTTTTAGACTACACAAGTTTTTGATACAATTTCTTGTACAATTTAAATTGTATATTATCAAACCTGCAGTAAATTGTCTGAAAAATTAGATTGGATAATCATTTTTCAAACAATTTACTATGTGATCCTATATAATTTAAATTCTATAAGAAATTGTATCAAATCTTGTACAAGCCCTACTCCACTGGTTCAAATGAAAACAACATATCTTAACCTAAAAATACTTACCGATAAAACCATACATTTCGACTTAAATGATCTACCTTTTTGAACACTACACATGCATGTACCATAATTCTTTATATTTCTCACAAATTTCACAAAAATACTATTTTATAAATGAATAAATCAATAAGTCACACAGAAACTGTCAGATACTGTCAGAAATACAAAATAGCTGTTAGACCTGATTGGCAACGTTACAGCTGGTTACGGTACTACATTTCATTATCGGGTCGATGGTGTAGCGGTCTAACGCGCTTATATTTATTTATAGGCATGTTTATGAGTCCGAGACTGCTGGGCTTCGAATCCCATACCAGACCATGTGGATTTTTAATTAAATTGCATGGTTCGGTTTAGGATTTGATGTGTGCCGCATTAATAGAAATTCAATTTCTATTGATATGACATGCAGATTATAAAATCGCCATACATTATCGTCTCGATGATGGTGGGTGAGGTTTTCCGGGTTTTCCTCACCTGTAAGTCAAATGGCATCATCAATCATCCTTAAGTCGCCCGGAGCGCCACGGCAAATAATAATAATAATAACCGTCCCTTCTTCGAAACCCTAATATTTTGTTTAGATTAATATTGATTTTTTAATAAAAAATTTAGCTTATATTAAAACTTCAAAGAATAATTTGATTAAAAACATATTTTTATTTATATAATATAAAATTATAGTTACAGGACACATCAAGTTTTATTTTTCAAAAGTAATTTCTCCAAATAATTTTGCCAGACTGATAAAATCGGCAAAGATGCAATAAACGAGAATCTGGTGGGAATAATGATTTGCCACATAAAAATGTAAACAATTTGGTCTCTTAGTTGTAATGTCTTTGGTAAAAACTTATTATATAAAGACAGAAAGTTTGCTTTTTTAAAATTGTAAGATTTGCTATTATTATTTATACTGAAATTATTTTGATTTGTTGAGAATCCGAAAAGAGAGAGATGGATGATAGGCAACCTCATTTACCAATGGTATACAGTCACGATTTACAGAACAGTTTATGCTGCTTACTACTAGATATAACAATTTATCATAAGTATTTAAAATGTTATTGTATTGTTTAAAATTTAGTACGGCCAAGAAATTTAAGAATGTGCGAGTTTTTCTATCTTCTAGAATGTTCTCAGTAAAATTTGCACAATTAAAGTCTCCCAATAACAAAACTTTATTATCGGTGAATACATCCCATCTTTCAACGACCTCTATAAAATTATCAAATTCTTCCAGAGACAAAGATGGAGGAATATAAAGTACTGCTAAATAAAAAGAACGGAAAGATACGGAACACTTGCAAACCAAGAAATGAATTTTTGGAAAATTTTCTTCAAATTGAGAGGTATCAAAAATATCTATAGCGATTAATACACCTCCTCCACGCGTTATATCTAGCTGATCGAGTTTTCGATCTCTGCGAAAAACTTCATAGTTCATAGTTCACATGAATTAACATCAGGCTTCAGCCATGTTTCGCTAAGAGCAATAGCATTATATTTACAATCACTCACATTCGAAGAAACAGTATCTATCTTGCTATTCAGTCCTCTGACGTTTAACGAAACAACTCTTGGTATGCCATTAACTTTGTTAGTCAATTCTTCTTTTATTGTTTTGTAATATTCAATTTGTCTTTTTGTACGATCCTCTGAAATGCTTATATTTTTACATTCCAACTTAGTTTTCAGTCGTTTAGAATTCCTCAAAACTATCCTAGTTACATTATCACTTTCAAGAATTACCTTAATAGGACGATTTCTGGAATTAGAAAAAGAACCCAATCGAAATGGTTTAATGTTAGTATCTGCCAGTTCAGGATCAATGGTATTTAGAATGTCTATAATAACATTTGTATTGCATTCAATTTGTTCTGCTGAGTATTTATGTTAATCAGGCTCCGGAACATTGAAGATCATAATATTGTTTCAGCATTTCTGTCGTTCAGACAATTCTTACATTATATCTTCAAAATCAAACTCAGATGACTTTGTATGCTGGTTTTTCTCATCTTTTAATGCCATAATTTCTTGTTGCAGTTGTATAATGAGAGATTTTAAATCTTTCAGATCTTTTACAATAGCACTACAACCGATACAGGTCTAATAATAGCCTTTGTTCATATTTAAGGTTCGTACTTCATTGGCAGTAATATCAACACATGTATGTTTAAATTTGTCTTTACACACACTGCATGAATTGAATTCGGCATCTCCGAAAACCACCGAGTAACGATTTTGGAACGATTTTTATGGACGCTGTAATTTTTTTTCCAATTACCCCCAGACAACACTACAGAGGGAGGGGGTCCCCTGGGAATGCTCGGGGGGAGCATTCCCAGGGAAATCTAATACCAGAATTGAATTCGACATCTCCGAAAACCCCCAAGTAACGAGTTTGGAACGCTTCCCATGGACTATGCAATTTCCCCCCAGAATGACCTCCCGGATACCCCCTCAGAGTCGCCCCCGAGCGCCCCCGGCTAATTCCAATGCCAGACTTGAATTCGGCATCTCCAAACCCCCCCCCCCCCAGTAACGAGCTTGGAGCGATTTTCATGCACGCTGCCATTTCTGCCCAATTCACTTCCGCGCACCCCCACAGAGCCACCCTTATGCACTCCCAGGTAATTCTAATGCCATAATCGAGTTCGACAGCCCCGAAAACTCCCGTTTAACGATTTCTGAGTGATTTTTCCGAGTTTCCAGTCGTTCCTATAATGGTGCAAGTAATGATGCAATTGGAAAATACATTTTCCGGCCTAGAAGGCATTTTTCAAAAAATGACCAAATCAGACGATATAGACTTTTTTCCTGGGACCTTCCTGAACACAATGTAGAAAACCGCATCTCGATATCTGCTGTCCCTATAAATTTCCGCTGTTCCGGTCGATTTTGATCTAAATGCCCTGAACTATTTGGTATGTGTATATATATACTTGGCAAAAAACAGACAAGGTATCATTCATTTTGTTATTCTATCTAGGTAAGTTTTTTTTTAATATTACTGCTGTTAAATATTTTATCATTTTATTATATACGAGTAATAACAAAATTTTGAGTGTACTACCTAATCATTATTTAATAATTTGTATTTTAAAATTTCATTTTAAATTTCTCCTTATTAAAATAAATGTCAATAACACTAATTAGATCATATGGCATAATACTACTAGACACTAGACTGATATTTATGATTTCAAAATATACCAAAGTTAATATAATAAAATTTGAATTCATTTGTAAATGCAGGGGTAGTATTCTCGAGTCACGAATATAGATTCGCATGCGAGATTTATGATTTGTCTCACTTGGTTTTTGTTCAACAAAGTGAGACACATTGTAAAACACGTACGCGAATGTCGGTATTCGTGATTCGAGAATACTACCCCTGGTATTTAACTTGCACTGTTACTGCTCGTTGAATTAAGGATGTAGCTCCTTATCTCGTACTCTTTATTTTCCAGAAAAATCAAAATGAAATTATTCATTCTCTTCGCTACAGCACTTTTGGTAGTTACTGCCCATCCGACCCAACAAGACTGGACCTCTTTCAAGGTATTTTCTTTACCCAAAAAGTTTAAAAAATTTCTCAAAGGTCCAAAAAAATCAAATTGAAATGAATTAATTAAAATTATAAATAAATTTGATTAAAAAACGCTTATATAAAAAATTAAAAACTAAAGTTCTCAAATCAATTTATTTGTGAAAGTTTTTGTAGAACTTATTGAACATGCCAAAATTGTACAAAGATTGCACAACGTTTTACAATGGTATACAACGTTATGCAAAATGAAAGTTATTGTAATATTAATATCAATATCAATACTTATTCCAAAAAATACACAAAACTTTAATAGTTTTTTTAAATATTTTAAAAAACGACAAAACCATAATAAAAAGAAAATATTAATAATTCTATTTTTAAAAATTTAAAAACAAACTAATAAATCTATAAAAGCAATCGAAATCTGTAAGAAAATATAAAAGATTTACGAATGTAGGTGATTCGGGAGGAAGTGGCAGCGAATTCATGATGATATTTCCATAGTATTTGAAGATAAATTTTATACAAGCTACTGTCCCAAATTCAAGACCCAGATTATTAGTGGAAAGCTACCCTCCAACTAAAGAAAACTATCCAAAAGTGATTGACAGTTTAGGGTCACGTTTTGGTAGAAAAGACTTATTGGTAGAAGTCTACGTTCGTGAAATTTTGAAATTGGTACTGAATAGTAACACTAAAAGATATTCTCTGAGTACACTTTATGATAAGCTTGAGTCACAGTTACGTGCTCTAGAAACCTTTGATGTCAAAACTGACACTTGTGCAGCCATGTTATATCCCTTGGTAGAATCATGTTTAGCTGAAGATTTATTCAGAACATGGCATATAAGTTCTCTATATGATGCTGAATCAAGTGTTCAAGAATGTCTTGAGAATTTAATGAAGTTTTTGAGAAAAGAAGTTCAAGCTGAAGAAAAAATAGTCATGGCTACTTTAGGGTTTGAACTACAAAATAAATCTAAAAGAAATTACGACATTTCACCTAAAAGTGCTAATAATGCAACTACTGCTGCAGATTTGATTAATAGGAGCTCTTTAAAATGCGTATTTTGTAAAAGCACACACGACAGTCAGAACTGTATTGAAGCTCGTACTTGGAGCTTAGCTCAAAAGAAAGAAAGACTTTCTGCTAATGCCTGCTGCCATTTGTGTATGAAATTCGGACATATTAAGAGACGATGTAAAGTTAAACTAAGATGTTCCAAATGCCAAGGCAGACATGTAGATATAATGTGTCCAAAAAATGATAAACAACCTGTAATGAATAAACCTTTGCTAATAAGGTTTAATAAAACTAAAAACGATGCATGACAATTACAAAATAAATTATGACATTAATCAAACAATTAAACAAATATACAAGGTAATAAAATATTACTACATTCTTCCCACGGTAATCTGTTATGTAGTCTTCTAAATATTTAGGTGCTCGTCTGGAACGAATAGGACGGTTTTGCGCACTACGTTCTTCCGTTTTGGAACAGGTCTCTTGGGAGAACGAGGGAACTTCATTATGGTTTTCTAAAGTTTCGAATTTTTCAGTTTCCTCCGGTGATTCAACTATGGTGGGTTCGTTAGTATCATCGTTGGAAGCCATCTTTTCAGTTTCATTAGTTAAATTTTGTTCCAAAGTTTTATGAGCTGTAGGGGCTAAATGTCTAAGTGAAACTGTACTTTCTCTTCCGTCTGGGAACTTGATTTGTGCATATTCAGGATTAGCTTCTATTAATTGAACCTCTTCCACCAGTGGATCACATTTACTTTGGCGTCTAAAATTTTTGAGTAGGACAGGTCCTGGAGAAGATAGCCAAGTAGGAATAGTTGAGCCATTAGCTGATCGTGTAGGGTGGTTAAACATTCGCTCATGTGCAGTACAATTGATTGATGTACATAATAAGGAACGCACGGAGTGTAGGGAATCATCTAAAACCATCTCCCAGTGCGAAACTGCTAATTTCTTTGTTTTTAGGGCCAGTTGGACTGTCTTTCATATTATTCCATTATATCTTTCGACTTGGCCGTTCCCTTGAGGATTATAGGGACTTGTACGACTGGTAGCTATTCCACGAGAATGCAAATATTTTTTCAGTTCATTAGACATGAATGATGCCCTTTGGTCGGAATGAATATAGGAAGCTAAACCGAAAATCGAAAAGAGATTTGCCAAACACTTAATAATAGTAGAGGAAGTCATATCCGAGCAAGGATAAGCAAAAGGAAATCTGGAATATTCATCGACAATGGTTAGGAGATATTTGTTTCTGCTGATACTTGGAAGCGGGCCTTTGAAATCAATATTTAACCTTTCAAAAGGCGAGGTAGCCTTAATTAATTTTCCACATTGTTTAAAAAATTTTGGTTTTAGCTCGGAACAAATTGGACAAGAAGAGATGGTTCTACGAACGTCTTCTACAGAAAATGGCAAATTTTTTGAACGTATCCAGTGAGCAAACCTAGTGACTCCTGGATGGCACAGTGCCTCATGAAGATTGAAAAGGTTGTTTTGATGAATATTATTACCAATATAACCACAAACTCTACTAAACGTATCCGGTACCACATTTTCAGGTCCCCGGCGATAAATAATATCGAAACTGTAGCATGCTAGCTCTAAACGCCACCGCAAAATTTTTTCATTTTTTATTTTACTACTGTGTTTACTATTGAACATAAAGGAAACTGATTTTTGATCCGTATAAAGCTTAAAGTGTTGGCCAATGAGAAAATGTCGCCACTTTCTAAGAGATTCTACAATAGCATAAGCTTTTTTTTCGACCGCAGAATGATGTTGCTCACTTTTTGATAAGGTTCTTGAAAAGAATGCCACTGGTCTTCCTAGTTGGCTTAAAGCAGCTGCGATAGAGTGTTCAGACGCATCTGTTTCAACCGTAAATGGAACACCATCCTGTACAGAGGTAACAACCGAATTGGCAATTTCAAGCTTAAGATTTTCAAAATCAGCTGCTGCTTCCAAATTTAAGGGAAACGATGTAGATGTGACAAGTCTAAATTTTTTCTGAAAAACGCGGTATCCACTTTGAGTAGTGAGAAAACATGCCCACAGTACGTCTCAATGAAGCAGTATCCCTTGGGATAGGAAGATTGAATAAAGGCTCCAACCTAGTTGGATCGGGCTTCAGTGTATTGTTTTTAATTAGGTAACCTAGTAAGTTGATTGAGCGTTTACTGAATGAGCTCTTATCATGATTTATAGTAAGGTTATACTTAGAAATAATATCAAGTAACATTTTTAGATTTTTATCGTGATCATCCTGATTTTTCCCACACACAGTTATATCGTCTAAATAACTGCAAACGCCATTAAGTTTTTCTTTAGTAATTATTTGGTCTAAGACACGTTGAAAACACGCAACCCCATTCGTTACTCCGAAAGGTATTCTACAAAATTGGTAAAGGCGACCTTGAGCTTCAAAACCTGTGAATATTTTCTTATTCTCTAGTATTGGTAGTTGGTGATAGGCGCTCTACAAATCAATAGTACTAAAGTAATTGAATTTAGACTCTTCACCGACAATTTTATCAATATTGGGCCAAGGATATGCGTCTAAATATGTAAAACGATTTATAGTCTGAGAGTAGTCTATAACCATTCTCTTTTTATGGTTCTCATTTCTGGTAACCAGAACTTGGGCCCGCCAAGGAGATCGACTTTCTTCTATTACTCCTTCCGAAAGTAATTTTCCTATTTCAAGGTTTATGAATTTGGCGTCATCTTGTGTGTGTCTACGCGATTTCGTAGTTATTGGCTTACAATTTGGTGCCAAATTTGAAAACAGAGCAGGGGAGACAATAGAGGCAGCGGCTAAGTTACAAATTTTATTAGTAGAGAGTGTAGTAGGGGGCCCACCTATATGTAAAGGAGTTTTATAGCCATTGAAATGAAACTCAATTGAAGAATGTTGTTCTAAAACATTTAGGACAATAATGACATCCGCACATAACTCTGACAGAACAGAGGCATTCAAGTGGTAATAATAGAAACCTTGGATATTCGCTCCGTGCGAAGTCATGGAAAGGGAAGCAAAAGCGATCTAGCGCTAGCTGCGGATAATTCGTGCATTTTAGGGCGATATTTTGTAATTTTGGCATATCAAATACACGTATACATTTTACTTTTTTTCAAAAAAGTAGGTAAAAACAATACAATAAGCAACCGGAGTTGCTGTGTTGAAAATTGTACAAATACTAGCAAAAAAAATGTGTCCAACACATGACTTTCCTATCTAGTTATTACAGGCTTTTTCCGGTTATTTTGTACAACCTATTGCAGCACCTCCATAAATGTTTAGAGGATAAAATAAATATATACATTTTCCACATACATCTACCTCGAAATATTTTTCTATAAATATTCATTGAAAATTAAAATACTGAAAATTTAAATTTACCACATTTCCTACAATTTTTCCATTACGGTCCATTTTAGAGATCGATATCGCAAACAACTTTAAGTTCAACAATTTTCATAAAAATCAGAATTTTGCACATTTTGTCAAATTTCTCGAATACGGACTATTTCAGGAAATTTTGACATAAAACAAAAATTATAGATAATAATATTAGAAGTAACTTTTATTTGAACAATTTTCTTCTCCAAACATAAATAACAGATATATTCCATAAAATATAAAAACGGCCTCCCATAAAGTACCCCCCTAGATGTTCCGACTTTGTCCAAAATCTAATCATTTTACGTCAGGCCGAAATAAACCTTAAGTTTAAAATTTAATGTTTTTGTCTTTATCCGTTTTTGAGTTTTCTTCAAAATGCGAAATTTACACATTTTCTCAAATATCTCAATTACGGTCCATTTTAGAGAAATTATGTATAGAATAAAAATTATAGAGAATTATATAACAAACAACTTTTGTTTGAACAATTTTTATAAAAAAATATTTTTTTTACATTTTGTCAAATTTCTCGAATACGGACCATTTTAGGAAAATTTTGTATAAAACAAAAATTATAG